CCCCTTCCTCCAGCCACCCTCCCCGTGGAGAGGAGCCAGATGGGAGCGTTTCCCATCCATTTCCCTTGACACAACCAGTACCCACTAGAAACCCAAGACCCGGTTGAAGCCTGGCTAAGGCATGTTTCTGTAGACACAGACACCTTCTGTGGCCACACCACCTCAGGCACAGGGGTGCTGTGCATCTGTGATCACACACACACACACACACACACACACACACACACACACACACACGGAGCCCGCTGGCTGAAACACTTACTCTCCAGATTGGGATGGGCACAGCAGCTTGATGGGAGAGTGGGAGAGGATGCCTGGGGCTGGAGCATTTGTGTTCAGGGCTTCTTCTTTAAAAGTCTCTTAGAGATGGGGAGAGGGGTGGGATGGCTTCAGTGTTTCTACAGATGGAGAAGAGCCTCCCTCATGTGCAGCTCTGAAAGGGTAGTTCAGCACCTCATCCCTGACAGTGTGCCACCAGCTGACTGCCCCAGAGCCACTTAGGGTGCGCTTGTCCCTTCTATGGAGGACCCTGGTTCCCCTAGCTGTCCCCAGGAGCCACAAGACCACAGTCTAATGCCCCAGCTGTCAGCCTCACCCACACTGCTCCTGAATTATCCTCACTGGCCGTGGGCCCCAGCTCTCCCGTCCCTGTGCCCCGACATCCTCTGGTTAATAAGCAGCTCAAATAAAGACACCGAGGTCTCTTTGGAGAGGCAGAGAAAGTCTGCAGTTCCCTGAGTGCAGGCCAGGGAGCCCTGGACTCAGCCCAGGATCTGGGGGGCCCGTTTGTGTTCTCTGTCCTTTGTAGCCTTCCTTGTGGGCTACAGAGGATCCCCACCCAAAAGCCACAGTAGACAGCTAGGTGAGGCAGTGAGGTAGTTATTAATCATGGGAGGCATGCTGAAGCCTGAGGTCCCTTCCTGGAAGAGCCTTAGCTCTCCTTTCCGAGAGACCAGATCCACGAGGTCCCTCACTCCCCGCCCCTCCAGGCCCTGGAAACCATCCTGGTGGCTGTCTTCCCGCTCCCACCCATCTCCTGCACTGTGTAACCCCAGGACTTTTGGGGATGACCTTGCGATGTCCCCACAGAAGGAAGCCCTGGAACTGTGTGTCAGACAACCTCCTCGTCACCTCTTGGTCTACATCCAACACCGTAAGGAGGGTTGGAGCCCCTCCTAGGACTTGCCCATTTTCAAGGTCGTGGTCACCTTTGACACTGCCTACAGGGATCCCCGTTGCCAGCGGGACTGTTTTTTGAAGCCCAGCAACATGACAGGTTGAACTTGAGCTCTCTAGACAAATGTTTCTCACTTAATCCTCCCTGGGTTGGCCTCAGGTGGCTTTAGCCAAATTTATCTATCGGACACCACTAGAGCCTGGAGGAAACATTGCCTTTGTTCCAGGCATTGTGTTTGGATGTGGGAGTCCAGGGTAAACAAGGTGAAGTCCCTGTCCTTGAGGACAGGCTACCGGAGAAATAGTATAAAGCAGAGGACCCAGCTGGGCGGTGGTGGCGCACGCCTTTAATCCCAGCACTCGGGAGGCAGAGCCAGGCGGATCTCTGTGAGTTCGAGGCCAGCCTGGGCTACAGAGCGAGCTCCAGGACAGGTACCAAAACTACACAGAGAAACCCTGTCTCGGGGAAAAACAAAAACAACCAAAAAAAAAAAAAAAAAAAAAACAGAGGACCCACTCCTTCCTTCCAGACACCACTGTCTACCCCTGCTCTCCACATCCCTCCTCGCCACTGCCACTTGTAATTTCTTTTCTTTTTTTTCCTCCCGGAGCTGAGGACCGAACCCAGGGCCTTGTGCTTGCTAGGCAAGCGCTCTACCACTGAGCTAAATCCCCAGCCCCACCACTTGTAATTTCTAGACTAGTTGCAAATCCACAAGAGAGGGTTATTGGAGTCAGAGTGGTAACTCAGGCCTGGAAACCCAGCACTGTGGAGGCTGAGGAAGGAAAGCCATGAGTTCAAGGCCAGCCTGGGCTAGAGAGCAGAGACAGTGAGTCCTCACTGCAAAATTGAATAGAAAGAGGCTGGCAAGATGTTCCACAGGTAGACAGACACCTGCTGCCAAGCCTGGTGTCCCGAGTTTGACTCCCCCGGGCCCACAGGCTGGAAGGAGAGAACCGACTCCCAAAAGCTGTCTTCTCTCTCCATTCACGCTCTGTGGCATATGCACATCCAAACACATCCACAAGAAACTAAAAAGGAGGAGGAGGAGGAGGAAGAAGAAGAAGATGGAGGAGGAGGGCTGGGGAGATGGCTCAGTGTTAAGAGCACTGGCTGCTCTTCCAGAGGACCCAGGCTAGATTCCCAGCACCCACATGGTGACTCACAACCATCTGTAACTCCAGTAACAAGGGGATCCAACACATGTCTTCTAAGCTCCACACATGCACCGTGGCCCATGCGTGGACATAAACACATGTACAAGTGAATGTAATAAGAAAAAAAAATTACAGGCCTGGATTTGATACCCCACACTGCATAAACTGGATGTGGTAGCCCATACCTAAAATCCCAGCACTCAGGAGATAACGGCAGGGAGGTCAGGAGTTCAAGATCTTTCTCAGCTACATATCTCAAGGCAGAGGCCAACGTAGGATATGTAAGGCATTGTCTATAAATATATAAATAAATTTTATAAGAATAGGGTTGTGACTCAGTAGTGCAGCACTGACCTCCAATGCATGAGGCTCTGAATCCCATCCCAGCACCACAAATGGATGGATGGATACATAGATACATAGATAGATAGATAGATAGATACATACATGCATAGATACATAGATAGACCAACAAACAGAAAGATGATAGATAGCCATATAGATGATAGATAGATGGACAGACAGACAGATAATAGATAAGTTGATAGCTATTAAAGCTCCCAGACTCATAGCAAGAGCTCAAAAAGGGCAGTCTCTGGGAAGCCTTGAAGCCTAAAGACTCTGAAACTCCAGGAAGGCAGAGGGAACCGGGAAAGAAGCAAGCATGCCCTTTATTAGCGAGGGCCCCTGTTCTCTCCCTTAATCCCGGAGGCTTGACCTCCCTGGTTTGGTTCACGTTCTCCCAGAGAAGAGTGTTCCCTGATAAAATGTCCCCTCCCTTGGTCCTCTGTGCCTCTTTATGGAGCACCAGGAGGCACAGGGGCTGTCCACACTTAAGCCTCACCTGCCCGAGATGGGCATTCCGCTGCCCTAATCACTCTCCACAGCTCACCCACCCAATCCCGACCCCTCCCACCCCACCCCCTAACCCCCCCCCATCTCGAGTTCTGTTCCCTCAGCTCTTTAATCAAATTAAGGGAAAGGAGAGGGTTTAGATAGGGTTGCTAAATATATTTCTGTTTAGGGGATAGGGGAAAAAAAAGAAGAGCTGGAGAGGAAGGAGAGTGTGAAATTCCTTAATGGAATGTGTCCTGAGCCTCCTTTCCCTAGAGTGAGCCCGCCCGGATCACCTCTCTGTGGTAAAGTGCTTGTACGGACATTATCTCCTGGAGATATGGCCGGTGGCATTGCGCCCACCCAGGGAAAGGTCTGCTGAGGCCATCGGACCCTGTGAGCTGGTCTGACCCTGGTCTATATATTTCACAGGACACCCTGGCCCCACGGGGGTGACTGGGCTTTCTGTAGAGTGTGACACCAGCAGAGAAATTGTTCACAGTTGGAGGGCACAGTTCACTGGGTGCGCTCTCCACATCGGGGCTTTAGGAAACTTTTTTTTTTTTCTTTGCTATTTCAAATGCACTGAAGTTTAAAGAGGAAAAGAAAGGCCACCATGATTTACTTGAAGGCTCTGACAATCTTTCAAGGTTGGACCTTTAACTGTCTGTGAAATGCCTGTATATGCTTATTGGAAAGTGGGTTCAGACACACACCGACTATATATTTATTTTATATTTACCTCATGACTTTAGTGTTTCAGTTCACCAACGTTTCTTCAGAAATACCTCTAATTTCTTTTTACATTGATTTGGGGGCGGGTGGGTATACGTGGAGAGCCACGATGAATATGTAAAGGTCAGAGAACACTCTGAGGGAGTCAGGTCTCCTCTTCCACCATGAGGGGCCAGGGTGTCAAACTCAAGCCTGGTAGCAAGTATTTTCATCTGCTGATCCGCTTTGCCAGGCCCCGGAAATCATTTCTAAAAACAACATAATTTGGGAGCCGGGCGGTGGTGGCGCACACCTTGAATCCCAGCCCTCGGGAAGCAGAGGCAGGCGGATCCTTGTGAGTTCGAGGCCAGCCTGGTCTACAGAGTGAGCTCCAGGACAGGCACTAAAAACTACACAGAGAAAACCTGTCTCGAAAAACCAAAACCAAAACAAAACAAAAAAAAAACATAATTTGGATTTGTTGTTTATTTAAAAAGGTATATCAGCCGGGCGGTGGTGGCTCACGCCTTTAATCCCAGCACTTGGGAGGCAGAGCCAGGCGGATCTCTGTGAGTTCGAGGCCAGCCTGGACTACCAAGTGAGTTCCAGGAAAGGCGCAAAGCTACACAGAGAAACCCTGTCTTGAAAAACCAAAAAAAAAAAAAAAAAGGTATATCAACAACTATTGCTTATACACAATCTAGTCTCAGAAGCCAGGGACTCTAAGGATGTCGGGTACCATGTGACATTAATTCTTGTAGTGACTCATGTTACAGGTAAGGCTGGCGAGGCCCAGTGAGGTGAAAGAACGTGGCCTTAGTCCCTAGGATCCTGCAACCTGGGCACAAACATTAGTTTTGTTTTGCTTCCCCCCCCCCACACCGTGCTGGGAATGGAACCCAGGACCTCATGCATGTCGGGTCGGCATGGAGCTGTGTCCCCCAGCTTCTGGTGGCCTTTTTTAACATCTAAGTAAAGTTCTCCATGAATCAATCTGTCATGGTGAGTAATTCTCCTTCCGTTGGCCATCCAAGGACCCACCCCACCCCATCCCCCGCTATTAAGATTATCTTTGCTCTGAGCCACCTCGGTTCACATCTCTTACTATTTCTTCACAGAATCATTTCCTAGAAGTGAAATGACTGAATCATCCTCCTTACGTATCACCAAGTGGCTTTCCAGAAAGCCAAAGCTCTCCCACTCCTGCTTGCGGAGGAGATGGCCCTCTTGAGAAGCACGCCCGCCCGTTTGGTAGGTGGAAGCTCTCTCCTTCTGCCGTCATTTGCATTTCCTTGATCACTGGTGAAGCTGAACTTGCCTTTGCACGCTCGTGAGTCAGTCGTGTGTCCACGAGGACTTGCCACAGGGCAGCTTTGTCACTCTTGCCTGGCCCTCCCTCTTCCCAGTCTGCACCCGGTTGCTCCAGGGAGGCCTCCCTGAGGAGAATCTGTTTGCACATTCGCTCCACCCTGCAAAACTTTGGTCGTCCGTCATATGGACTCGCGCCACTGTTTAGATGCCTATTTCCCCCTTCCCTCAGCCACACCTACCTCACTTTGGGCTCCTAAAACACTGCCACACCTCAGAGACCAAAAGGTCAGAGTGCAAGATTTCCCCTCGACCTAATCGGCCATCTCGGGCGTTCTAGAGGGAGGATCTCTCTCTACAGGAAGTAACCAGGCTAGAGCCAGCAGGCCGGTGCCCTTGGCTTTCTCTTCCCAGGAAACTTAAATTCCTCTTGCTCTCTGGGGAGTTGAGAGAGCAGTGAGGCCAAAGAAAGGACCTCAGTTTCTCATGAGCCTGTGGCCTCAGCTGCCCGGCCTCCCTTCTGAGGTTCTGATGGGCTCTCCTGATCTTTCAAGAGGCCTGTCTTCCTTGGCACTAATGGGGCATGTGCCATCGTCTCCCTTGGGTGGGTGAGCCCCTTCCTCTGGCTGGAGCACAGTGGGTACAGAGGTTGCCACCCAGAGCTGGGTGAGGCAGGTGCTGACATTCTCGGGGTCCAGAAGAACATCGGCAGGGATCCCCGCTCCAGGCTCCAGCTGCATGTCTGGCAGTGTGTCCCTGTGGGTGCGGCTCCTATGCGCCGTCACCCAATCCTGCCTGCTGCACCTGGGATAGCTAGCCTCAAGATTGGACAATATGACCTCCTCAACCTCTGTGGGCTACCAGAGGAAGCCACATTCTGACCTCAGAAAGCCACACAGGGCAAATGGGTGGTCACAGGGCACCGTGTGATGCAGACCAGGGAACTCTGGCCAACCCAAGGTGGCTTCTCCAGCTGGAGCCTGAAGGCAAGGATGTAGGACGTGAAGGGGGCATTCGGGACCAGATGTCCTCACACGGCCAAGAACAGAGTCCCAAAGATGGAAATGCAACCGCCGCGGGCAGGGATCGCTGGATCCTTTGGGCTACTAAAGAACATATGTCCAAGGGGCCAGAGATGAGCAGGAACCGACTAGACAGATGGACCAGGCAGAGATGGGAGGTCAGGAGTTACGGCAAACCATGGGCTTATGCAATCGTGGGGGTTGGCTGGGAAAATCCCATCCACAGGCTAGCTCGGAAGCTCCCAGAAGCTGCATCACAGGTAAAATGTCTTCTACAGGGAAGCCTTGGCTGGATGTCAGATTATCTAGAATAAACTCCTTAAAGTCAAGTGCTTCTAGACATTAATCATCTACAAAATATAACAGCACAGCAAGAGCAGAGCCGCAGTTGGAGGCTAACTCGGACTATGGAAATCTTGGAAGGGAGCGGGGGGAGGAAGAAGGAAAGAAAATTTTACATAAAGAAAGTTGGAGCCGGGCGGCAGTGGCGCACACCTTTGATCCCAGCACTCGGGAGGCAGAGCCAGGCGGATCTCTGTGAGTTCGAGGCCAGCCTGGGCTACAGAGTGAGTTCCAGGACAGGCTCCAAAGCTACACAGAGAAACCCTGTCTCAGGAGAGGGGGTAGGGGGGAGGTGAGGAGATTGGTAGTAAGGACACAACAGGTAAGGCAAATGCAGAGTCCGAGGAAGCCCAGCGACAAGCCAGGACAGGAAGACAGGACACAATTGAAGAGAGCCACACAGGACAAAGCCGCATAGACGTAAATGGAGGTCATTTTAGTATCCGTTTCCACTTTGATTTCTATGATAGGTACTTTTTTTTTTTAAATAGAGGTGAAGCTGTAGGATGTGAATAGGATAAATCAGGGAAGGAAACCCAGTCCGTGGGCTAGAACTGTACAGTGCAGTCACCCTGTTGTAACCTTTCCGTATTCCCACAGTGCTTGCCTGCCTGACATGCTCAGAGCCAGGTTTGATACCCCCCCACCCCCAGCATCATGGAAATATGCACACTGGTATATAACTGTCACCCCGGCAATCTGGAGATACAGGCTGGAGGAGAATCCGCAGTTCAAGGTCATCCTGAGCTACACAAAATAATAGCATCCAACTCTCCAGCTGAATGTCTCTTTGTTTTAACCTTGGGGGAGCCAGGGAAGAAAACAGGTTCGTCATAAATTTCTTTTGGGGTGACACCTCCTTTTCCCAAGGCTGATTCAGGACAGGTCAGTTTGTTGACAGGTCCCTGCCTGCCCTTGTTTCCAGCAGAAGCAGCCTGAGACTTCTTAGACTGAGAGGGAAGGCTGAGGTTTCTAGAACTTCCCTTCTTCTCCTCCTCCTCCTCCGTTCTATCCATCACTGAAATTATAAGTTAAAGTTCCAGAGGAAGAAGAGTAATGGCTGGCATTCATTCTCTGTGGCTCCTTCCGTGCCTGCCTCCATTCCAGTAAGCCCCGGTGCACCCCAGAATACTCATATGTCGAATCCCTGGATCAATGGGATGAAGCAGGTAGAGGCTGGGAGGCTGCAGGCGCTGGCCTGACCCCAGCAGAAGATGAGTCAGGAGCACCAGACCAGGCCTAGCAATGAGCCGGCTTGCCTATCCGTGGAGACACTGGAAAGTAAAGGGTCTCCAACCTCCTGGTCTGACATGACGCAAAGGGGCAGTCCGACCCTGTCCTGTGACTTGGAGCATTGTATGACCCTGTCTAGACCTTTCCCTGGAAGAGTGGGACACTGACCGACTCAGAGTCACAGGCGACCCCAACGCTCAAAACAAAACAAAACAACAAAACCCACCACCAACAAAACCCACCACCAACAAAACCCACCACCAACAAAACCCACCACCAACAAAACCCACCACCAACAAAACCAAGAGGAAGTTTCCACAAAAGATCTGGATTCTGTGCACCTGCTCCTGGCAGTTTCATCCCTCCAGTGGCCCCAAGAACAGAATGACAGAATGAGGTCGATGACTCCTCCTGACAGTCAAATCTCCCTCTCCCTCCCGGGGAGAAAGAGGAGGAAAATCCAAGGGGAAAAAAAAAAAAGTGGCAATACTTCTCAGTTCTAGGGAGGTGAGAACGGCCGCACAGAGTTGGGGGTGGTTCAGACACGGCCATTCTACCCTGAGTCTGAGCCCGACTCTATCTAGAAACAGCCTGACAAGGCTGACCAAACGGGACGAGCAGGGTGGGGCTGCCGGGCCCAGGCCACCCTAAGGAGTCCGAGCTGAATTGCCGCAAAAAAATGAGCTCACCCAGGTGGTGGGGGTAAAGGTTAGGGGCAAGGCTTACAGCCAAGGGTGGAGTGCCGTGGTAGAGACTGAAACGTCAAGGCCTGGTGGCTCAGGCGTGTAATCCCAGCTGCTTAGAGGCTGAGCCGGAGGGACCGCAAGTGTAAGGTTAGCCTGGGCAACTTTGTGAGGCCCTGTCTCCAAACGTTAAAAGACGGGATTGGGCTGGGGCTCAGTGCGAGAGCAGTTGTCTAAGATGTGTGAGAACTAAGGTTCAGTATCCAGTAATAAAAAAAAAATATATTAAATACATACACACACACATACATGGAACATCTGATCTAGCCATCCCATTACTGCGTGTCTGGACAGGGAACCCTAAAGAATTGCAAGCTGTCTTGGAGAGGTGTCTGCTCTGCCCTGTTCACTATAGCACTGTTCACAGTAACTCAGAGGCGAGGCAGTGTAAATGCCCATCAACAGGTGAATGGTCCAAGAACAGACACAGGAGATTCCCTCAGGTACCGCAGGAAAGGGTGAAGCTGATTCTATTAGCCACTTTTGGGGGGATGGTGCTGAGGGTGAAACCCAGAGCCATACCCCCCAGCTTTTCATTATCTTACGTTTTTCTTTTGTTTTCTTGGTTTTTGTTTTTGGTTTTTTTCAAGACAGGGTTTCTCTGTGTAGTTTTGGTGCCTGTCCTGGAACTCACTCTGTAGACCAGGCTGGCCTCGAACTCACAGAGATCCGCCGGCCTCTGCCTCCCGGGTGCTGGGTGCTGGGATTAAAGGCGTGCGCCACCACTGCCCAGCTCTTAGTTATGTATGTATATATGTTTATATTTTGAGATAGAGTCTCTCTATGTAGCGCAGGCTGTCCTTGAACTCCTTGTGTAGACCAGGCTAGCCTCAAAGTCACAGAGGTTTGCCTGCCTCTGCCTCCCTAGCACTGAAATTAAAGGTATATACCACCGTACCAGGTTTAAAAGATTTATTTGTACCTATTTTGTGGGGGGTGGGGGGACTTTTCAGTAGTCAGCTCTCTTCCCACCCTGTCTTTGAGGCACACTCTCTTGTTATTTCGGGTGCTAGCCTGCATACTCCAGCTTTCTCATACTCCTGTCTTGTCTCACTTTAAGAGTGCTGTTATTAAAGACACAAGCTACCACATCTGGCTCTTTGCGCAGGCTCCGGGGTGTCGCTCGAACTGAGGTGGGCCCTGGGGGTTGCTCCGCATGTGTTTTTTGCTGTTTGTTTGGAGTTGTTTTGTTTTCATCCCCGAGCGCTCTCACTATATCCACATGGTTTAAGTAGATTCGCTGGAGATCATACTGTCAATCCAGCAATTGTAACTCTATTTCTCTAGCTTCCAAAAGGTGACAGTTTGACATTAAACCACGCAGCTGAGGAACAGGCAAATCATAAGATCAAACACCCCTTTGTGTAAGGGGGATGTCCTCTCTTGAGGCTCTCATTAGCTCTTTCTTGTTCTGATGCACAAAGCCTTCCCCCTTTCCACACTTGCTTTCTGGTTGACATTTAGCTGTCTGCGGCTGTATTTCTTCGGATCCCTTGTACTTAGGGCCCCTGATCTGGGGTCTGGAGGAGGTGGGCCTCTCCTTTCTTGGATTTCGACCAGTTTCTCATTAAGGTATTGTGCCTGCGTACAATGGGCTTCGTGA